AAAATATATAAAATAATAGTCTTCCCTACTACATCCAGAGATCCTGTTTTCTATAATTAAAAAGAACACTATTGTATCCCATTAAATTGATTTTATAATCCACTAATGGGACATGAACTACATTTTTAAATATTTCGCCCCAACCGTAATTTTTGTCTTTAAAAAAAATTCAACCTAATTTAGATATCCATTTGGTTATTTTTCTCCCAAAATTTCTCTCATTTGTAAATTCTCTTTATTTGTAAAATTTCTCTTTATTTGTAAAAGTTAATTATGTTTGCATTTATAATTATGATAAGTGTTCAAAGTATGAAAGAGGAGTAGTTGTCTTCTTTATTCCTTATTCTTCCTTGTTGCTGCTTTCAGATCTTGTTCCTCCCTCATCCCTCATTGAATCAAAACTTGTTAGGAGCAAGTGCTCCTGCTGCACCACCTGCTACCTATATTGTGGCTGTAATTCACTAGGCTCACTGCCTTTCTTTCTCACTATATTGGTCTTAGTGATTTTAGTATCTCTGTTCCCTAACTGGATTCCCTACTTCAGGCACTCATTCCCACGAGCACATCCTCAATTTTTGCATCACTGATTTACTGCACTGCCTTCAAAATCTCGATTTCAGGCATCCTGTTTTCAGACTCTACCTCTTCTTTCTAGGTCGCTTTCTCTAGAACCTGCACTCCAACAATTTTTTTTTAACCCCATTGAGATGTACAATACATTGTTCTTATGACCTTTTCCTATCACCTTTCTCACCACATCCCTACTTCTTTCTTTACCTGACTTCTGTTTTATGTTCCATCTTAAAATTGGTCTCTTGCTTATATTCTTTTAACTTTCCTTTTTCCTCTTTGATTCTGTTAAACTCAGCTGGCTAAACCCCAACTCTTTTGTTAAATCCCATCTTTCCATGTACTGCTTGCTTGCATCCAGACACATGAATATGATTGAAGACAAACACCATACCCCAATGGGTTTGACTTGCATGTTATAACCGTAAACTTCAAGCAGGTCTTTAGTGCTGCATCGAGATTCTCCTACATTTCCCTAGTGAATTTATCCTCCCACTCTCGGAGGTGACTTATAATCTCCTTTCCTCAAAAGGGCAGTGGTACCACCCTTATTATTATCTGATGGCCTTCTTACTGCAATAGGAAGAGAATCTGTGCATCCTCTTATCAATAATTTTGCCAGTCTACCTAAATCTGTAGCTGTGTGCTGTGTTTTTCCTCTTGTTAGAGTGATGAACGGTCTGCTTCTATCCTAGTCTTCCCCTCTGCTTGTGCTAGACCCCATTCGTGCTCACCTATTCAGAAGTTTGCTCCTGCAGTTACCACCTCCCTCTCCTGCATCATCTGTTTTCTCTTCCACTGGATCACTCTCATTTAGCATATAACATCCTACAGTACCACCCATCTTAAACTTACCTTCAACTAAACTCCACCCTAGCTACAACTCCATTTCTCTGTGTTCCTTTTAGGCAAATCTCTCTGAAAAAAGTTGCCTGTATTAATTCCTCTTTTCCAATGCCTTCTTGAATCATTCCAATTTATTTGCACAGCTCCACTGAAACTGCCATGCTAGTATCACCACATGCCAAATCAAGTAGTCAATTTTCAGTCTTCTTCTGAAAGCTCTTGGCAACTTTGACACATTTGTTCACTCATTCCTTATTGAAAGATATTCTCCACTTGACTTCCAAGACAGCATACTCTGCTGGTTTTCTTCCTACTTCATTGGCTGCTCCTTTTGTGTCTTTGCTAGACCCTTCTTTTACTCAGTGAAGGTTGGTGTGATTAGAGGATCAGTTCTTGGACTTTTTCCCTATCTATATTCACTCCTAAGTGATCTCATCTAGCCCTCTGACTTTATAGCTCATCTGTACACTGATGACTCCTAACTCCAAATTCATGTATCTATTCACTTGGTATCTTTCTTGGATACCTAATGGTATCTCAAATATAATAGTCCCACACAGAACTCTCTTTTTTGAGACAGGCTCTTGCTCTGTCACCTGGGCTAGGTCTCACTGTGTTGCCCTGGCCAGTCTTGAGCTCCTAGCCTCATGTGATCCTCCTGGCAAAGTGCTAGGATTATAGGTGTGAGCCACCACACCTGGCCCCCAAGTAGAACTCTTAATTTTCATCTCTAAACCTCCTCCTTCCCAAGTATTCTCCAACCCCTTTGTTCATCTCTTGTATAGGCTCCAAATTTCGGGTGCATTTTGGACTCTTCTTTCTCTCTCCCCACTCATGGTGTCTATAAGAAATTCATCAAGGCTCTACCCCTGAAATATATTCTCAGCATGTTTACCACTAACACCCAAGTATAGGCCTCTGTTCTCATTTGTCTGGGCTATTGCTACTGTAGTAGCCTTATAACTGCTCTCCCTATTTCACTCTCATTCCTTTACATTCTATTTTCCACACAACAGCCAAAGTAATTATTTTAAAATACAAGTTAGATCATGTCACTTCCTTCCCTAAAATCTTCCAGTAGCCTCCCACCATACTTAAAAGAAATACAGACTCTTCCTTACCGTAGACTACTACAGGCCCTTGACTGCCTCTGAACTCACCTCCAGCTTCTCTCCCCGTCAGTCACTGCCCCAGCAATGTAGCGCCTCTTGGTGTTCCTCAGATATGCCAAGTATGTTTTTACCTTTGGAGCTTTTACTTGCTGTTATCTCTGCTTAAGACACTCTTTCCCTGGATAGCTATGTGATCTACTCCTTCTGCTGACTCAAGTCTTTACTCACCTAGCATCTTCTTGAAGAGACATTTCCTGAGCACCTGTCTAAACTAGCAGGCTCCCCAACTGCAAGCTCCCTTCCTCTACCCTGTCACTCTCTTCTGACATCCCATACTTTTCTCTTCCATTTGTAGTATTCATATCTCCTACTGCACAAACATGTACACATAGTAGAATATAAATTCTACTAGGGCAGAAACTGATTTACTGCTGTGTCTCCACTGCCTAGAGCAGTGCTTGCATATAATATGTGCTCAGTTAATATCAGTTAAATATTGAATTAATGTTATAATTCAGGGTGTCAACCAAACACTCGAAGCTCTAACTGTATTTCCCTGTACTGGACCACCTCACCTGATATTCTCTCATTAACTGTTAGCTGATAGAATAAACAAACTTGTGAATCTCATGATTATATTTAAAATAACCGAGTTGTGTGTCTGTTGGTTAACTCCTTAAGGTATTTTAGAGTATTTTAAAAGCAAGGTGAATTTTAACGGGTCCTTATTACCCCCATTCAGACTCCTAGTGTCCTAAGCTATGCCTACTTAGAGTTGCAGTGAAAAGCATTATTATTTATGATAGAATTGCAATGTGGAAAGAGAAATGAAACATCATGAAGAGGCAATACTAGGAAAGTAGCTTAAAGAATTATAGTCATAAAATCTGCTTTTCTGGCTTAGATATATAGTTCTATGTGGTAAGCACAGACAAAAAAGTAGGGGACCCATGAAAGAAATAAGGGGAAAAAAGACATTTTGAACTTTTTATTTTTGACTTGCTAATATGATAAACTGAAATAAATCTCTCTTTTGTATTTCTTTAGTACTGCTGGCGATGGACAGGTTTTAACTTCGGCTTTGATCTACTAGTAACTTACACTAATCGATACATCATTTTCAAACGCAATACACTGAATCAGCCATGTAGTGGATCTGTCAGTTTACAGCCTCGAAGGAGCATAGCGTTTAGGTAGGATGAGATTTTTCTTCCTCACTCCAGGGGAAATATAAGAAGTAAAAGAAATAAAACTTTAATAATTTATACCAAAAACTTTAGAACTTTGATAATATACAGTATAGGGAAAGTGGTAGGAAATGGTAAGGCTCCATTCCTATGAACTGTATTATTAGTAATGAAAATCATAAGATGTAGTATGTCAGGGAGAACGAATAGGCTGGAATATATACTAAATATGGAATATCAGTCCTGAAGGATGAAAGATTGATACTGGGCTTGAAGCTGATGCCTTGTTGCTTTTCCTAGCAAATAAAAGATCCAAACTGAAAATATGGTAAGGTATTTTTTAAGCCAAATTTAGCAGTGGGGGGTTGTATACCAACTTTTGTGACACTAATATTAATAAGTTCTAATAACCTACAACCATCAAACCAGCCATGGTAAGGTATTTTTCCAGGAAAACATGTCTGGTAGTTTTGGTATGTCCAACTTTGCCTGATAGTTAAGCTGGCAATCTTTTTCTAGAGAGAATGCTATAGGCTGACAAACTGGAAAATAGCTTAATAAATAGATTATTTAAGAGACATATATTTATACTTTACATCAAATACAAAGGCTTAAAATGGATCAAAGATATAAACATTAAGATCTAAAACTATGACACTCTTGGAAGAAAATATAGGGGAAAAAGCTTTATATTAATAACATTTGATATGGCAATGATTTCTTCCATATGACACCAAAAGCACAGGCAACAAAAGAAAAAGTAGATAAACGAGACTTCATCAGAATTGAAAACTTTTGTGCATCAGTGGATACTATCAGAGTGAAAAGGCACCCCATGGAACGGGAGAAAACATTTGTAAACCCTCTATTCAATAAGGAAGCAATATTTAGAATATATAGAAAACTCTACAATAAAAAAAAAATATTGATTCAAAAATGGGGAAAGGACTTGCATAAACCTTTCTCCAAAGAAGATATACAAAATGGCTAATAAGCACATGAAAAGATGCTCAACATCACCCATCATCAGGGAAATGCAAATCAAAACCATGATAAGCTATTACTTCACATCTGTTAGGATGACTGTTCTTAAAAACAAAATGGAAGAAAACTTCAAAATTAACAAGTGTTGGTGAGGATGTGGAATATTTGAAACCTTTGTATACTGCTGGTGGCCATGTAAAATGGTGTAGCCACTGTAGAAAACAATACGGTGATTCCTCAGAAAAATTAAACATAGAATTACCATATGATCCAGCAATTCCTCTTCTGGATATGTACCCAAAAGAAATGAAAATAGGGGCTGGGCGCTGTGGCTCACGCCTGTAATCCTAGCACTCTGGAAGGCCAAGGTGAGAGGATCACTTGAGGTCAGGAGTTTGAGGTTGCTGTGAGCTAGGCTGATGCCACGGCACACTAGCCTGGGTGACAGAGCAAGACTCTGTCTCAGAAAAAAAAAAACAATGAAAATAGGGACTCAAACAAATATTAGTACACTCATATTCATAGCAGCAGCATTCGTAATAGCCAAAAAGTAGAAGCAACCCCATGTTCATTGACAGATGAATGGATAAACAGAATGTTATATGTACACACAGTGGAACATTATTCAGCCCTAAAAAGAAGTTCTGACATGCTAAACATGCATGAACCTTGAAGACATGCTAAGCATAACAAGTCAGTTGCAAAAGGACAAATATTGTAAGATTCCACTTATCCAAGGTATCGAAAGTAGATAAATTCATAGGGACCGAGAGTACACTGGTGGTTGCCAGGGGATGGAAGAAGAGAAAATGGAGAGTTAGTTTATAATGGGTGCAGAGTTTCACTTGGGGAAGAGGAAAATGTTCTGGAGATGGATTCAGAACAATGTAAATATATTTAATGCCACAAAACTTTATACTTAAAAATGGTTAAATGGTAAATTTTATGTTACATATATTTTACCACAATCAAAACATTTATAAATTATTTTTACATATCAGATATGTACAATAGCACAGGCTTATAAATCTGGAATCAGTTCATAGTTTGAAAAGACTTTAAAGTCTTTTATCAAATAAAAGATCTACAGAGACAAGGAAGAAAAAATATTAAAGTGAGGGAGGGCTTGTTTAAATTTGTACTTAAAAAAATCTTGTGTTTATTTTTTTTTAATTTTTTTATCCTAGATTACGTTTGGCTTCTTTTGATAGTAGTGGAAAACTAATATGTAGTAGGACAACTGGCTATCAAATACTTACGCTTGAAAAGGATCAGGTATGTTTGATTATTTTTCTGTGGTGTCATTGTATTTGTCTTTTGAATCTGCTTTTGAAAATTCTTAAGTAGAATTAACATTAAAATGATGTTTTGATTTAAGGATTGGTTTGAAAGTTTTTTGAAGGTAAAGATGAAGTGTACCTACCATGCTCACTTCTGTATAACTTACCCCATCCCACTAGGAGCATAACCGGGACAAAAAAAAGAAAAAAGAAAACATGATTTCAGGAGCAGGGGAAAGCTGATTTATAAAGAAATAGTTCTTTATCCTGAATATCATCTTCAAACACTTATGAATCTTAACTGCTTTATCCATTGTGTTCATAAGTGCATTTATTTATACATTAATGGCAGACATCTTGAAGACAATCTAGTAAATTTCCATAGCTCCTGAATATTATGAGAACATTATTCTCTAGGTTTGTAAAATGATCAACATCTGTAACATGCCCCACATTATCGCTAAAGCCATTTGTTCATACATCACACGCACTTAGAAGTTTTAAGATGTCATGAAAGTAAATGAGAGCTGTTAAAATATTGAATAAGTTTATTAAAACTAACCCCCATTCCAAAGGACATAATGTTTTAAAAAAGGGTTCAGGGCCTATTATAGTTCACATAAATTTTGAGACATTAGCAGTTTTCCTCAGACTGAAGAGACTATCATAGAACGTTCTTAGCATTGCAAGGAACCTTAGACACGATCATCATAACCTCACGTACCCTGTGTGAGAACTCCTTTAACAGCATTCTCACAGAGCCCTCCAGCCACTGTTGGAACTCTAGCAATAGAGAGCTGACCATCTGAAGCAGTAGGTAGTATGTAGGAATGTCCATTTCAAGGCAGATATATAATGAGAAAGTTCAATTCTGCCTCCATTGGAATTCTCTCTTGGTCCTTCTTATACCCTCTGGAACTGAATGGACAGTGACTATCTTTACCTCCTACCTGGAACTTCATTAAAAAAAAAAAAAAAGTCATGGCTCAAAGCAACCAAAGATTTCAAAAGCACCAGGCCAAGATAATAGTTGTATTTCAAATGTTCCTTCAGAAAATGCTGGTTTCCTTACTGCACACTAGGTTCTATGCTAGGAGGGGAGAAGTAAAGATGGGCTTGTGTGAACATGGCCTAGTGTAAGCAGCGTGACAGAATAAGCTCAGAGTGGTGTGCAACATTGAGGATAAAGTCTCTAACCTGTACTGTGCAGCTGAGAGAGTGTGTGGTTATTGGGGGAGGAGCGGGGAGACAGCTCAGGGGAAACTTCCCCTCCTGGAAAAGTTGAAAAGTGAATAGATACCTGAACCAAACCTCAAATGATGAGTAAGATGGAGGTAAGGCATGTGGGTCATTGAAGGAACCGAAAGACAGTTGGAAGAGTTCAGTGTAACTAGAGCCAGGGCAGGTAGGCTGTGGATGGAGTTTGGAAGGATTTTAGTTGGGAGTTGTATATGCATTTTATGTAAGGTATAGATGTTTATTGTAGAAAAAATAGAAAATATAAATAAGCCAAAACAAAATCATACATATACCACTCAGATACACTGCTGACATTTTTTCTTTCACTGTATCTTTTTTCCAAAAATGGATCTGTTAACTATTTTGTAACCTGCTGTTTTTTATGGTGAAAAAAATGTGTATTTAGAATTAGCCAATTGAGATCCATTTAGATAATCTCAATTTTGTTGGCAACATCTAAAGCAGCATAGTCAGGAGCCAGTCCAACATGTGCCTCCTTCCCTCCATCAGGCCTGATCAGACCTTGGCCACATCAGTGACATAGAGCTTTGTCACAGCCTCTTTCCTCTGGTGCTCCTTGGCACCAGAGGACATCCACAATTGAGCACAAGTGTGTGCTCTTCTGTCTTCTTCATGGCTGACTTGGTGGTTAGAACTTGATGATGGCATAGTAGTTAAGCCTGAGGGAGAGGCAAAATTGGTCACCTGGCCTGGGCCCATTAGGAGAAAGGATGGGCCCTCTTTTGGAGCACAGGCCAGGAAAGCCTCGGTGCATCAGACAGTGAGGTAGCAATTGTAACCTGCTTTTTGTTTTCTACTTCATTGTACATAGTTTTTCTTTCAATAAATATATATCCACAACTTTTTTTTTTTTTTTTTTTTGAGACAGAAGGTCTCACTCTGTTACTCAGGCTAGAGTGCAGTGGTGTCATCATAGCTCACTGCAGCCTCCAACTCCTGGGCTCAAGCAATCCTCCCACCTCAGCCTCCCAAAGTGCTAGGATTATATGCATGAGCCACCACGCCAGGCCTCACAACATCATTTTTATTAACTGCTTAATACTGTTGTTTTGGATATACCATAATTTACATAAATCCTTTTTATTGGATAAAATTCTCGGGTTTTTTTTCATTATTTGTCCACTTTTCTGAGTTTTTTTTTTTTTCTTTAAAGCTAAATTCCAAGAAGTAGCATTCTTGTCAAAAGGTGCATATGTTTTCTAATGGACAAATTACCCTTTACAAGTACAGTCCAATTTATGCTTCCCCTGGTAGTATAGGAGAATATACCTAATGTAGTATATTATCCTTCTTTTTAATCTTTCGCCCAAGGTAATAAGTGAAACAAATTATATTTGAATTTTCATTTCTTTCATTACTGGTATGGTTGAGTTTTTTGTATGTATATTGGACATGTTATATAAATTGACAGTTAATATCTGTATAATTTTTATTAAAATGTTCATTCTCCCAAGTAGCTGGGACTACAAGTGCATACCACCACACCCAGAAAATTTTTTTAATTTTTTGTAGAGATGGCAAGCATCTCACTAAGTTGCCCAGGCTGGTCTCGAACTCCTGGCCTCAAGTGATCCTCCTGACTCGGCCTCCCAAAGGGCTGGGATTACACAGGTGTGAGCCACTGTGCCTGGCCTTTTATGTATTAAGAATAATAAAATTTGTGATATGCTATAGTTTTTCCATTTTTGTCATTTGTTTTTTCAACATTTAAAACTATCTCTCTCTTTAATGATGTCTTCATAGTGTGATCCTTAGGCCTCCTTATCCTGACTAGAATTATATACATGCTGAGCTGGGTATGGTGGCTCACGCTTACAATCCCAGCAACCCAGGAGTCTGAGATGGAAGGATCACTTGAAGCCAGGAGTTGAAGACCAGCCTGGGCAACATAGCAAGATGTATCTCTAAAAAGAAATTTTAAATAAAAATAAATAGTCATCTGTATTTTTTATGCTCCTTTTATGGTGTAATTTTTTACACTGGAGTATTTCAAGTGTATTTGAAATGCCTTATCATATACTAAATCATTACAGACTTGGTTTCATTTCTGAACTTTGTTTTATTGATTTCTTTGTTAGGAAGACAACAGGCATTGTTTTAATGAGGCTAACTTTAAAATGAATTTTAATACCTCATAATGCAAAAACACTTTCTTTCTTTTTTCAAAAATCCTTTGGTTTGGCCAGGCATGGTGGCTCACGCCTGTAATCCTAGCCCTTTGAGAGGCTGAGGTAGGAGGATCACTTGAGGCCAGGACTTCAGGACCAGCCTAGCAAAGACCCTGTCTCTACAAAAATTTTTTAAACATTTTTTGCTTTTTTGTGCATGATTATTTTTCTGTATGAGGTATAGAATCATTTTTTCAAGGTTCCTATGGGGATTTTGATTTATATTATTAAATGTATAGAGTAACTTATGGGAAATTGATATCTTCCCCTTCTGGAATATGGTTCTCTACATTTATTTAGGTCTTCTCTTATGTTTCTCTAAAACTTGTAGTTTTTCCCATATCGTTCCTATATATTTCTGGAAATATAATGCTAAGTATTTGATGTGTCAACTGCTAATATGAAATGAATTTTTTCCTAATAGTTTTTGATGATGGAAGAAAGCTAGTGATTTTTATATATTTTATAACTGTCTTACACAACTGTATTTTTTAATGCTAACTGTGTTTGCATACAGTGCACATGCTATAATGCTAACTGGATTTGCATTATAGAAAGTTCTCTCAGGTAGTAATGTGTAGGAAGGATTAGAGATACGATAATGGCGGGAAGACAGTTAAGTCATTGTATTGCTGTATAGTCCAGATAAATAAAGAATGATGAGAGCCTTAGGGAAGGTAGCAGTGAAGATGAAGAAATGCTGATGGGTTCTAGAAATAAAATGGTACAGTTGACAGAATTTGGTGCTTAATTGTGTGTACGTGAAGAAAAGTAGTTAGATGGTTCCTGGTTTTCTGACTTGGACAACTTGATTTATAGTAGTGTTTTTGCCTGAATTTGAATTATAGGAAGGAAAATGAATATGACTTAAAACTATTTGTGATGGTAAAGAGGTGATGAATTCAGTTTAGGGCATATTTAATTTGAGGGCATCAAGGTGAAAATTTGATAAGTTGGTAGATAAATGCATCTGGAGTTTACAAGTGCCTGTGCTACAAATAATGACTGGATAAAAAAACTGTAGGAAATGTGTAGAGAATATGATAGGCTGGAACTCTAGGGACCACTGGTATTTAAAGGGTGGGCAAAGAAAGTAACCTGGTGAGATATTCAATAGCTAGCATGGGGAGTCAAAGCCATATTGCAAAAGTAAAAGCACAGATGACCGAGAAAGAAAAGGAGGAGATAGTAGCCAGTAGTTGAAGGTTTGGATTTCAGTTGCTTTATATCTAAGTGAAGATTTCTAGTAGTGAGTTGGATTTATGGATCCTGGAATTTAGACCTGTAAGATAGAATGTGGGGGAAGTAATAAAGGTATAGCATAGAATAAGTAGCATGAGCCTCAAAGAAGCAGGGATTTGTACATGAAGATGAAGCAATAATTAAAAGTAGAAACGGGGACCTAGGAAGATGTTGCTCTGTCTACTGCTGCAACGTGTGGGCTCCACAGCTTCTACCTATAGTGAACAAAAAATGGAACTTTGCTGTAAAGATACTACAATGCAAATGTAGATTTAAATTCATCCCTCAGGTAGAGTTAAAGATTTGATGAAACTAGGATTAGATCTGTTTTGTTTGGAGATGTAGAGTGGGGATTAATGCAATTTAATTTTCATAAATTGGTGTGTCCATTCACCCTCTAAGCGATGGCCCCATAATGTCCTCCTTTTCCCAGAGTTGGCCCTTCAACCTACCCCCACCCAACCTTAACTATACTCAAATACCAGAATGCTAATCCTTCTTGGAGCTTTCGTTTTGTCATGGTACAGAATCTTGATTTTTATCATCAGATATATGTATCATCAAAACATTTGTTCTCAACAAATTTAGTAAATGTGCCTTCACCCAGATTAGGTTATTAATACAAATTTTGACTAGGTCAGGGTGTGAAGCATCTGAGGACCAACTATGCTTTGACATTATTCCTCTCTTGTGACACTCTAGCACCATCAGCCTCGGTGATGGCCTTGCCTGATTTTGTTCACTGATGTCTTTTTTTTTTTTTTTTTTTTTTGAGACAGAGTC